TTTTGTTACGGGTGGAAGGTATCTGAGTTACCAGCAGCAAATCTGTATGAGCTTGCAGCAGCCACACCTCTTGCCTCAATAATTCGACTGAGTGGCACGAGGCAGAAAAAGAGGCCGAGGCAAGTTTCAGATCAGGAGTGGTAGTTCATTAAGAAGCTTTGGAACAGGAAAGAAAGGAGATCCAAGTGGGCACTGAGGTCCAGTGCAGTGTTTAACCTTGATTGTAGGCCATCCTAGGACATTCCAGGGTCAAGGCTGGCGCCTTGCCCATGATTCCTCCTTAGGGTGAGCTGCCTGCATGCACAGTGCATTCCTTACCCTTGGGAGGTGAGCACGCATAGTGTGTGTAGGAAGTTGTACAGGTGCCCTTCTAAGGCCTTCTTCCCTGTTCTGGTGATGTTCCCCTGGGAGGTCATGCGCTGCCATTTGGTCTCTTAATGTGCATGCCCAGGAAGTGGCATCTCCCTGGTGTCTGCATTCATTGAACACTTTAGTGCATCAGGTATGGACCATCAGGAAATGACCTCTCTCTGGTACCGGCTGCCAATTTATCACTTTTAGAGAGGCAATGTGGTAATTGCCAAACCATCACCCAACTTTCCTAGTGTGTAGGGGAGGGCCCTCTCCTGCCCCGCTCGTGCCTGTCTAACTCTCTTATAACAGTTTCAGCCAAGATTCCTGCTTTTGCAGGAGAGTAACCCTTTCTGTGCCAATCCACACCTTCCTTATCTCTCCACTGAGCTTGAATCTTCTGTCCACACCTTCACTTTCTTTGTTCTGGCTCACTGGGGCTCTTTCCCTTTTCCTCACTTAGCAGATAATCTCTAGCCTCATCAGTTCCCAAGACTAGCAACAGCCTGCATGCTGATCATTCTCAGATTTATCCACTCCCAAGCTTTGATCTAAACTCCAGTTTTATTCTTTTGTGTGGTTTTAGCTAATGCAGCTAGGGAGGCTAAAGCAACTTCATCCTGGATGCTAATGCATCGTGTTGACTTCTGATTAATTCCAGTTCTGGGAAGGACTCCAAGACTTCCAGTTTGTCTCTTGTTCCTTGTGGTCAATAAATCTTTACCGTAAATCCTGCCTGGGGTCATACAGCCTTGATGTTATCGTACTTCAATTGTCCGGTGCAGCCCTTCCGAACCACCCCTTGCCTACGGTATACAAGCCCTGAGGGTAGTGGCACCAGGATCCACCATCTGGTCTCACCGCCACGTCAAGACACAGATGTAGCTTCTGTTCCTAAGTCTCTAAATGTTTCTAAGGGAATATGTTCTTCTCTAGATGACGGTACATTATGTAAAGCTGTGGTGGTAAAAAGTGTCATACATGTGAGACAACATAGATCAATATCACAAGCAACCAAAAGAAACAGAAACTGGACTTGATAAAAATTAAAACCATGTGCTTCTAAGGACACAACTCAATAATAAGACAACTGGCCGGACACGGTAGCTCACACCTATAATCCTGGCACTTCGGGAAGCCAAGGTGGGCAGATCACCTGAGGTCAAGAGTTTGAGATCAGCTTGGCCAACATGGTGAAACCCCATCTCTACTTAAAAAAAAAAAGAAAACATGCCCATACAAAAACTTGCATGACGCTCATAGCAGCATGATTCATAATAGCCAAAAAAATGTACTTAACCTGATGTCCGTCAGTTCATGAATTGATTTGTAAAATGTGTTATAGCAAAACAATGGAATATTAGTAATAAAAAGCAAGTGTAGGCCTGGCATGGTGGCTCATGCCTGTAATCCCAGCACTTTGGGAGGCTGAGGTGGGTGGATCATCCAAGGTCAGGAGTTCAAGACCAGCCTGGCTAACATGGCAAAACACTGTCTCTACTGAAAATACAAAAATTAGCCAGGCATGGTGGCACGCATATGTAGTCCCAGCTACTCAGGAGGTTGAGACAGGAGAAGGACTTGAAGCTGAGAGTCAGAGGTGGTAGTGAGCTGAAATCACGCCACTGTACTCCAACCTGGGCGGCAGACCGAGACGCCGTCTCATAAAACAAAATAAAGTGCAGACTATGCAAATTGAAAGAGACAGAAAGTAAATAATATTTGCCTGGAGATGGGGTGGCCATGTACCACGTATTTAAAGTGTGCAACTCGTTGGTTTTTAGTATATTCAGAATTGGGCAACCATCAGCACAATTTTAGAACATTTTCATCACCTGGCCAAAAAAAAAAAAAACATACCCATTAACTGTCACTGTCGTTTCCCCTGACCCTTCCCACCCAGCTTCCAGTGGATTTTGGCTATTCTGGATATTTCATGTAAATGGAAACATACAATATGTGGTCTTCCAAGACTGCAGCTTCTTTCACTTAGCATAATGTTTTCAACGTTCGTTCATGTCATAGCATGTCTCACTACATCTTTTCTTTTTATTAGCAAGTAATAGTCCACTCTATGGATATCACATTTTATGTATTCATACAGTTTCTCTACATACTTCCCAACTCTTGTCTCTTTTTTATTGTAGGTGTGAAGTGGTGTCTTTGGTGGTTTTGACTTGCATTTCCCAATGGCTAATGATACAGAGCATCTTGTCATGTGTTTGGTGGTCATTTGTATGTCTTTTTTGGAGAACTGTCTATTCAGATCATTTTTGTATGTGGGCTGAGGTAGGGAACCAGATGCATTCTTTTACATGTGGATATTCAGTTGTCCCAGTAACATTTGTTGAAAAGATTATTCTTTTCCCACTAATTTGTCTTGACGCCGTTGTTGAAAATTATTCGGCCATTTTGGTCTCTCAGTTCTGTTCCATTGAACTAGATGTCTGTCTTTATGCCAGTACCACACCATCTTGATTATTGTAGCCCCTTTTTTTTTTTTTTTTGGCTCTCTCAGGAATTAATCCATTCCTAAGAGCAAGAACTCACTCACCTCAGAGGGTGGGCAAAAATCTATTCATGGGAGATCGTCCCCATGCTCATGCCTCAGCCTCCTGAATAGCTGGGATTACAGGTGTGCACCATCACACCCTCACTTAGCCCTTTTTTTTTTTTTTTTTTAAGTTAAAACATCTATAAAGTGGAAGTGGGGCCCTCGCTATGTTGCCCAGACTTGTCTGGACCTCTGGTTGCAAGCGATCCTTCTGCTTCAGCCTCCCAAAGTGCTGGGATTGGAGGCATAAGCCTCTGGGCCTGGCCACAATTGATTTTTGTTTATTGATCTTGTATCGTGCAACTTTGCAATTAGATCTAACTTTGTTCTTAGTCCTAATCGTTGTTTAGTGGGTTCCTTAGGGTTTTCTGTATACAAGGTCATGTCACGTGCAAATGGAAATAGCTGTACTTCTTCCTTTCCCATCTGGATGCCTTTCAGTTCATCTTATTGCCTCATTGCCTTGGCCTACGCCTCTAGGACAGTGTTGACTAGAAATGATAGGGACCCACGCTCGTCTTGTTCCTGACTTAGGAGAAAGCTTTTAGTCTTTCACCTTTAAGTCTGATGTTAGTTGTGTGTTTTTCATAGATGCGCTTCATCAGGCTGCGGAAGTTCCCCTCTATTCCTAGTTTGTATGTTATTATACTTTTAAATAACTACAGCAGAGCCTATAAGAAGATACAAATAAATACATGGGGAGAGGTTCACAGTTTGTTAAGTGAGGGGAAGAGTTTACTCCATTCAGTGTGAATCTGATCTCTGTGGGTAGGAGGATGTGTTAGTTGAACAATTTTTTTTTTTTTTTTTTTTT